TGTCATCTTCATAAAGTTATTTTTAAGGTCATTTTCTTCTGCGTCATCTGTGTCAGGATGTTCAGGTCTTGCTGTTGTAGTACCACTACATTCTGATGGTGCCATATTGCTCTTTATGTTGTTGAATGTATTCTTACACTGCTGTTTACCCATCTGTGTTTGGGATAATTATAGGTACAGGTGTTGGTTCTTCTGATGTCTTTGTTGGATGGATCTTTTGTTCCTTCATTGTTCCTTTCTTTGGCCTGAATGGACAACGTTTCTGGTGATTGGCTGGTTGTCAGGTCGAGTAGGGTTGTCTCAGCTGAGGGTTATGGGGTTTGGGCAACTAGGTCCAGTGTAATGTCCAGTTCTTCTGGCTGGTGTTGGGTTTACTTGTGGCTATGGAGTCTGTTCTTCTAACTGGTGTGGGTGGTGCTCATGCCTATAGGGTCTGCTGATGTTGCTGGAAAGGACTGTTTATGGGGTGGTGGCTCTTCTTCCAATTGGTGGTGGTCCTTGTGCCTCTAGGGGCAGCTGATATTGGGGGAGGGATAGTTTGCCAGGAGGAGGAGGATGGGTTTGGTGGGCTTGGGTGGCCGAGTGGGTCTTCTAGGTTACAGAGTCCACTGGGTGGTGGCAGTGTGTAAGATCTTTCTTCAATCCCCAAACATTGATTCATCTTTGACAGCTTCCTTCCTCTTACCTTCTAAATCCATGTAGAGTCCATTCTTGCCAATTTGACCCCCACAACCTCTCTCATGCTCTCTCTCAGTCCCACCCCACCACCTATGGTAGGTTTCTTTAGCAATGTGTGTTAGAGCATTGCCGTAGCTCCAAGGTCTTTGACCAGGAACAACCTTCCCACTTCCCTGCCATTTATTCTTCTAGCTCTCATTACACACCATTGATCCCACTCCACCTCTGCAGCTGGATTTCATTTTCTTTTTTCTAAAAAGATTTATTTATTATGTATACAGTGTTTTGCCTGCATGTATGCCTGAAGGCCAAAAGAGGGCACCAGATCTCACAGTAGATGGTTGTGAGCCACCATGTGGTTGCTGGGAATTGAACTCAGGACCTCTGGAAGAGCAGCCAGTGCTCTTAACCTCTGAGCCATCTCTCAAGCCCCTGGGTTTCATTTTCATGCTCAATTGTCGTTCAAGGTCAATTCAAATAATAATGCAGTCCTTAATTTGACCTTTTGATCATCTAGTCTTGTGAATTTATTGTTCATGCTGATAAATATCATCATCTTACCATGTATCTTAAATGCTAAACTTATAATAAAAATTCTCCCTTTGTATTTTCAGTGCTGGGAATCAAACTCAGAACCTTGTGCATGCTAGGCAAGAATTATGCTTCTTTTTTTCTTTTTCTTTTTTGTTTGGTTTATTGAGATAGGATTTCACTGTGTAACCCCAGTTGTCCTGGACCTCACTCTGAAGTCCAAGCTGGCCTAGAACTCACAGAGATCAGTCTCTCTCTGCTTCCCAAGTGCTGGGATTAAAGGTGTGTGCCACCACTGCCCAACTGCTAGGCATGAATTCTATCACTCAGTGATATCCCCAGCCTGAAAATTCTGGTTCTTTTCCCAGGGTGGCTAATGTACATGTACATTATACTTCATAAAGATCCAATCTCAAGTTTCTGAATGACCATTTCTCATAAGCACACATAAAAACAACAACATCAGCAACACCAACAACAAGAAACCCAGAATAGGCCTGGTAGTTACTTGAGGAAGGCAGTTAGCCCCAAATTTACCATTTGAGAATCTCATACTGTTTTTGCAGTGTGAACAGTCATTTTTTTAAAAGCCATATTCAGTGGTGAATTTTAAATGGTCTTCATAGGGGCATTTGTTACAGTTTTTTTTTCTATAAACCCAATGAACCCATAATCAATGAATGAAAGATTGTGTCATCTTCAACAATCTACAAAATCTCGACTTCTGATGTCACTTAAAAACCTGAGCTGGAGCCCCGGAGCCCGCTTGTTTCTGCTTTGACCAAGAGATTGGATTCCTAAAAGTAATTTAGGTGGAGTCAAAATCCAATTAGCTTGGCAATTCTATGAGCCATAACATCATTTTAGCAGATGATGGGAGGGTTAGGAAACCCAGTCCGTCGCTTTCTCTCTTTAATAGCAGAAAGAGGAAGGGGTAAACGAACAGAGGCAGGAGCAAAGGAAGTTATTGCAAACATTTCTTCTTCCACATATTGGACAAAATATTGGGTAAGACAGCTGAAGATGGATGCAGTCTTCAGGATGCCCTGTGGTCTCCGGATTTTCCTATCCCTGAGAAAGGAGCCCAGGAACGGATAGCATATCCAGATGTCTTTGCTGAGCTTGAGCCCTCATTCAATGAAATGAGGATAATATTTACTCTTTGTTGTTTAATACCATAGTGTGTTCAGACAGAATATAATTCCTCAGATTGTATTTACTGAAGTAGCTGTATCAACCACATCTTGGAAGCCGTTCATTTACCAATTTGTTTTTAAACATTGAGTCCAGGACCTTACTTATATATCTGTTATCTGTGTGTATGGCCTTTTTTTTTTTTTTTTTTTTAAAGAACCAGATTTCTCCAACAATTTACATTTTTTGATTGAATTGCAGGTTGTGGTGATATATTGTGTACCCTAATAAACTTGTCTGAGGATCAGAGGACAGAGCCAGCCACTAGACTAGACATAGAGGTCAGGCAGTGGTGGCACACACCTTTGGTCCCAGCGCTTGAGATTTCACGCCTTTGCTTGGGAAGCACACAGGCCTTTAATCCCAGGAAGTGATGTGGCAGGGCAGAGAAAGGTATATAAGGCATGAGGAAACAGGAACTCACTCTCTTTAGACTGAAGATTTCATAGAGGTAAGAACTAGTGACTGGCTGTTCTACTTCTCTGATCTTTTAGCTTTCACCTTGATATCTGACTGTGATTTTTTTTTTAAATTAAAAGACCATCTATGATTTGAACAACAGCAGGTCCTTGTGTTTTCCAGGTGAATGTTCTACCAATATACTACATTCCTAGCCCCATAACTGTGCGTTAGGTACGTGGTATAATGTGAAAAACTATTTAATAGGAACAACCTTTATATAAAGCCCTTGGACAATGTGTTGGTTAACTTCCAGGTTGTTATCTATGTAGAAAAGCTGGGATATTGGCTTACTAGAAGAGAACAGGGAAGACTCCATACATGAATCTAAACATCTCTCCTACAAAGCTGTTTTTCTGTATGCTTTGTAGTGAACTAGTAAATGTGCTTTCCTGTGTTCTGTGAGCCTCTACAGCAAATTAATCAGTCCAAGAAGAGCATCAACTTATAGCCATTCTTCCAGAGGTCTAGGTGATAACCTGTTATTTCCCTTTGGCATCTGAAAGAGGGGACAGTTTTGGAACTGAGAGTCTCACCTGTGCTGTGTGACCTTTTTTCCAGGTAGATAGTGTCAGATGGAATTGACTAACAGGAGGCTAAGCTGGTGTCTACTGAAGAACTGCTCTGTTCTCCAGGGGAAACCAGACATACTGATCCAGAAACACTCTCTGAGTGGGTGACCGCAGTAAAGGAAAAATTGCTTCTTTCTTTCCATCATTATAGGTTTCTCATTAGACCAGAAGTCATTCTTTTAACAATACACTTCTGCATGAACTTAAAAGCAAACCCGATTAAAAAAATATTAATCTGAAGTCAATAGGAATTCTGAGCTAGGAAAGGAAGGGTTTTTTCAAATTAGCTGTATTCAGGAATAAAATGCTTTATGTTTATGATTTCCTTGGTCCCGTCCTTAGCTTTTAGTTGTTTCTTTAGCTGAAATATTTTTAGAGGGCTGCTTTACTCTTTTTGAGCATGTACTCTTGAATTTCCTTATTCCTGGGAGCAATGTATATATACTTTTGAGATACGATCTAAATATATTCCAGACTGGCCTGGAACCCCCCATCCCTCTTACCTCAGTTTCCTGAGTGCTGGGATTACAGGTTTGTACTACAACATCTGGCTTTGTTTTTCCTATTCTGCACATAGTTGAGAAAGAATTTTAGGGGCTGAAGAGATGGCTCAGCAGTTAAAAATGATGTCTGCTCTTCCCCAAGTTCTATGCCCAGCACCCACACAATAGCTCACAACTGCTTCACTCCAGTCCAAAGGGATCCAATGCCCTCTTTTGATCTACACACACACCAGGCACACATGTGTTACATAGAGACATGTGGCGGTTTGAAAGAAAATGGCCCCCAAAGGGAGTGGCACTAATGGGAGATGTGGCCTTGTTGGAGTAGGTGTGGTCTTGTTGGAGGAAGTGTGTCACTGTGGAGGAGGGCTTTGAGGTCTCATATACACTCAAGATCCTGCCCAGTGTCTTAGTGTCCTGCTGCCTGCAACATGCAGGACTCCCAGATACTTCTCCAGCACCATGTCTGCCTGCATGCTGCCATGTCCCACCATGATGATAATGGACTGAACCTCTGAACTGTAAGTAAGCCACCACAATTAAATGCTTTCTTTTATGAAAGTTGCTGTGGTTATGGTGTCTCTTCACAGCAATAGAAATGCTAACTAAGATAATATATATCAAGGAAAAACATCCATACATATAAAATAAAAATAAAGGAGAAAAAAAAGAATTTTAGGTGATTGTTCAAGCACATCTCAGGAATAAGGGTCCATTTTTGCAATAAACTATTATTTTAATGGCAACACTGAGAATAAGATGATTGGCTCTGCCAGGATGGCCACAAGCATTGTACTTGAGGGTGTGGCTTCCAAGGACATATCTGCAGTTCTTTTCGAATGATTGTGTGGAGTGATATGAAGTGAATTTCTAGTTACTAGAAAGTGCAGGCTCTCCCATGATGGAAGTGACATTAGGTCTTGTGTGTTTTTTGAGGCTACTGTGCATAGTTAGGAGTGTAGGAAGGACTAAGTCCTGTTCATGGAACAGCCATATGCTGAACACTGACTTACCCCATAATTCTCAAGATGATCCTACGCAATAGTTACACTTTCTCTCTCCATCTACCGGTCACCTGTATGTGCTGCTTCTCCACTGTCCTCAGTTAGTGCTGTCCAACTGTCCATCTGAACCCTGGGTCCACCACTTGACACTGATCTCATGTAGTGACTGGTCATGCATGTTCCAATTTACCAAATTCTGAATTCCCTGCTGTCTATATGACCAATTCAGTTGTTAGTACCAAAGAATAGCTCCATCTCTTAAGGTCTTGATCCTATCCCCTTAGGGCAATGTTTACACTGTCCAATAAGGTACGATCAAGCCTTCTGCACATCTCAGTTCCAATCTTCGAAGGTATTCCCAAGGAAATATTTTAAAAGGAAAACTCACTGTTCACTCCACTTTCTCTACCCCACTCCTCACATTGGCTATGCAAACTGTTCTACTCTTTTGGATTCCTTTGCCTCTGGTGAGGTCACCATCTACCCAGCCATCCAAGCTACCGTAGTGTTTGCTGTGACCATTTTCTCTTCATGGCTGTCACTTGAATCAATACATTTTATGTCTCAATATCGCACACGATGATCGTAGAAGCAACCTCTGACTTCAGTCTCAGCTCCTCACTCTGGAATCCACCTGTCCTTCACAATGCCGCTCCAGTGACCTTTCTAAAATACAGCTCCGACTATGCATTTTTCTCAATGGAAAATCTTCTCTGCTGTTGTGGAACAGAAGAAAGTCAGATGAGTCTTCACACCCCACCCATAACATTGTTTTCATTGCTGTCAATGGCTATGTGCTATAAACTGATTTGACCATAGGCCTTAATTAATAACTATAATTTGTTCTTTGGGACTCCGCTTTCTTCTTACCAGACACATCCTGGTGAAACACTACATGAGTTGCTGCCATCACCGGAAGATCAACCGAACTGAAGGCAACCCAGCTCCACGCTCAGTGTGGTCCAGAAGGAAAGACGTGATTTTTCTAGAAAGAATGTGACAGGCATTCTACTCCAAAAAGAAAACTCAAGCAGGGAGTAGTGATGCATGTCTGTAATACTAGTATTGTGAGACGGAGGCAGGAGGATGAGGAAACTGCTAAGAATGTCACAAATCAAAACCTAAACCAAGGCCAAATGAAAAAGAACAGAAGAGAGGAAACTGTCTATGATCCCCCGCCATTTCTAAGCTCCACAATCTGCATGGAAACACACCCTGTCAAAACTGGCCCTGGATACTGTGTGGTCCAGTAGTTTTATAGAATATGTTCTGAGGAACTCCCTTGGTGGGACCCGCATGGGGTGTGGGTGAAGCTGCTGTCTGCTCGTGGTACATCTGTACTGCAATATACATCGATGAACTTTATCTTCTAATGGAGGTTTTGGTGTTTAAGTTTGTTTGAGGAAAGTCTCCTCACTAGAAGTTTAAGATCCTTGATCTAGTGGGCAGTCGATGGCTCAGTACTGGGGAGCATATACCACTTCTGCAGAGGACTGGAGTTTATCTCCCAGCACCCATGCTGGAGGCTCAGAACCACCTGTAACTCCAGGGATATGATGCCCTCTTTTGGCCTCAAAGGGCACTTGCATTCATGTGCTCATTCACACATATTAAAAAAAAGTCTTTAAACAACCCCCCCCCTCTTTTTTTTTGTGATACAGGGTTTCTCTTTGTAGCCCTGGTTGTTCTGGAGTTTGCTCTATAGACCAGGCTGGCCTTGAACTCAGAGATTTCCTTGCCTCTGCCTTCCAAGTGCCGAGACTAAAGGTGAGCACCACCACAACAGGCCTAAAATTATATTTTAAAAAGGTCCTTGATCCATTGTTTATAACTAATTCCCCCTCCTTCAGTTCCTTTCTTATTTTTAATTATATTTTTGGAAACATGATCTTGCTATGACCTCTGACCAACATTGCTGCCCAAGTACAACCTGAACAAGAACGGCACCGATCTACATGCTAATCATGCAGAAGAGGGAAGCCCGTGAGGTCTCAACCCTAGACAAAGAACTTCAGGCAAAGAGGGAATGCTGAGAGCAGAGGAAATAGTCTTCCCCAGGGAGGAGCGGAGTTGTTGGATATCCAGTACTGAATGGTCAGCCCTAAAAACACACAGACAAGTAACATCATACAGACAGGACAGGTAGCATTTATATACTTAGAAACACACACACACACACATACACACACACACACATACACACACAATTAAAGAAAAGGAGGTCAGGAATTTGGAAGAGAGCAATGAGGGTGGTTCATGGGAATAGTTTGGAGGGAGGAAAAGGAAGAAGAAAATGACTTAGTTATATTATATATTTTATTATTATATATTATATTATATATTTTGAAATATTACTTATTTCAAAAAATAAAAATGAATAAAAAGAATTAAGAGAAGTTATGCCAAGGTCTTGGAAAGGCAGACGTAATGTTTATATGTCTTGCAAAACACGATTATGGAATTCAGAGACTTCTTGTTTATGAAGAAGATTAAAAGATTTATCAAGTGCTGGCTTTAAAATCGGTTGGATTTGCCTGTGGAATGAGTCGTTCCCCCGCCCCCCCCAGGTTTGCTTCTCAGATGGAATTATTTTATCTCTGTTGGGGAACAGGGTGTGGTCATTAGCACAATTGCTGGGGTGAGGGGTCTGAGAACAGCCCAGGAGTCCGTGAAGCGACTCTCTCAGGAAAATTAGTTGAAAGAGCAGCCATTTCAAATGTGCACAAAGACCCTGTTGAGGTCATCAGGGCCTGCGAGGGGAGGGGGAGGCCTTGATTAAGAGGTGGGGCAGGAGGCACTGGGTACCGAAGTCATGTTAAGGGGGTGAAGATGATGATGCTGTTCAACCTGGGACTGGAAGAAGAGGGGTAAAAAGGTCAGCATTCAGAAATTTAAAAATCAATTACAAAATGAAAGACTGGAAATGTACCAAAGAAGACAAAATTCTTCTGTGAGGCAGTCAGGAGGAGGAATCGACTAAACAAGTCTCAGGGACATAATATGAACTGAGTAAACTCCTAACGTTTAAGAAAGCTTTCCTCTTAGTATTCCTGCTCCAAAGGAGAGGACATGCAGATGGTATTGAGAAATAAAGGCAGGAAACTTACTGATGTTTTGATACAAGGTAAGGAATATAATCAGAGGAAGATGTACCCAAAGACATCCCAGGCAGAGGAGTAAATGGTTCAGTCATTAATATTGCAAGATTAAGCCTCTCTCTTGTTTTGGGGAGAATTAGGGCGAGTTCATGCAGAATAAAGCAATTACCACACATGAGCTCAAGTAAAGGTTCCCTGCCTCCCCATGGCATGCGTGGCTTCGTGCCATGAAATCAGAGTAGACAAGACTCAGGCGTGTCATTGGAATTCCAGAAAGTTGTGAAGTCTACATTTCAGGGCGGAATTTTTTTTTTTTTAACTTCAGGAATGAATTCAGGAAGGCTTAGATTTAGCACAATCGGGATTCTTATGTTAAGAAGGCTAAACTGGAAATTACTAGTTCAGATGAAAAATGAATATCATGTGCATGCATGTGCATTGTGTGTGTGTTTGTGTGTGTGTGTACTGTATATGTGTGTGTGTGTATGGGCCATGGTGGAATAAAAATGGCCTGGAACATGGAAAAGTCATTTAACCATTTAAAGCTACAATTGTTTCATTAATATTTACTTATATCTGATTAAATATTCATGACGCCTTGTGTCCCCCTTGTCTAACAGTGCTGCATTCATAGCCATCTGTACCAGCTCAGCACAAGGGAGGTCTCAATTAGCCATTCAGACTAACAGGCTCTCAGCAAAGGGGCCCTTACCCTGCAATGGGCTGGAAGCAGATGAGCTTGTCTGTAGGCAGAAGCAACAGAGAAACAGAAGAGCCCTGGGCTGGGTTTCCAGTGCAGCTGAGGCTGCCGGCTTGGCCCACCCTTCAAGAACGCAGACAGGATGGTTTCAGGAATGGATAAGTAGCTATGGGCATGTAAAAACCTCTCCACCAGGGGCACATGGTATCCTACAGGAAGCAATGAAGAGTTATGAACAGGACCAGAAGGGGAATTCTTGAAGTCTTGTCATGTTTTCACCTGCCACTCGGAGGCTAGACAACAGGGTGAGCTAGTTTCACATACAGACTTAGTCTAGAAAACAGGACTGAAGGTATCTTCCCTTGAAGGACTGGCTGAGGGCGAAGGTGGGGCTAGGGATGGGGGTGGCAATTACCTACTCAACACTACTGAAGTCTCAGGCTCTTTCAAGCAGGCCATAAATGGCTACTTGTGTTAACCTCATGTTCGTGTCCCATCTCTCTTTTCTGAATGGCTTGTCTCTGGAGGACCCAGACTCTGCTCTATGATATTATAGGTGGTTAGGCAGTTGGATCATGATGTGAGTGTGTATCTACCCTGAAAGTAATTGTACGCGAATGACATTCTTGTTCATTGCTAAAAACCAAATATCCAGTGCTGGAGAGATGGTATAGTCAGTGAAGTGCGTTGGCATGCAAGCATGATGTTCTGACCTCAATCCCCAGTACCCACAAGAAAAAAAAAGCCAGATTCGGGAGGATGTACTTGCAATCCCCGCACTGGGGAGATGAGGGTGGGAGATGCTCTATGACTTGCTGGCCAGCGAGCCTAGACAAAGCATCGAGCTCCAGGCTCAGTGAGAGGCCTTCCTTCAAACATTAGGGTAGAAGAAGATTGAGTATCCAACATCTTCTACCCTCCATGTGCATGTGCACCTACGTGCACACACACACACACATGTGAACCTGTATACATACACATGTGAACATGTACACACACTACACATAACCAAATGTTCACTTTTTAATCTTTAAATAACACTAGACTGTGTTGGAACCGGATTGAAAGAAAAACAGAATCATGATATCTCTAGCAGGCAGAGGACTGCTTCCCGAAGCCCTCCCACATTCTAACTCCCTGAACCTTTGAATTTTTTACGGAAAAGTGACTTTCAGGACTTTCAGGACTTAAAAGTCCTCGATTGAGGGCGAGTTCTGGATTATTCTGTTTAATCCAGCCTAAAACCACATGGATGGAAGTTGAGATAAAAGAGTGGGCTACTGTGATACTTTGTGATGGCTTTGAAGATGGAGAAAGCTGCTGTAAGCCAAGAAGTGCAAGAAGCCCCCTGAATCTGGCATGCCAGACCCAAGAGACAAGGGACTCAGTTCTGCTAAGAATCTAGAGGAAGAGGAAGCGTATTCTCCCTTTTGTGTCCAGAAAGAAACAGAAGCTGCTGATGCCTAATTGTCATCCAGTGAGACAATTCCAGACTTCTGAGTCCAAAAACTACAAATCATTTTTGTTGTTGTTGTTGTTGTTTGTTTTGTTTTTTTTGAGACAGGATTTCTTTGTGTAGTCCTGGCTGTCCTGAAACTCACTCTCTAGACCAGGCTGGCCTTGAACTCACAGAGATCTGCCTGCCTCTCCCTCCTGAGTGCTGGGATTCAAGGCATGTGCCACCCCCGCCCAGCTGACAAATCTGTTTTGACACCATTGTCGGTGATAATTTTTTTTAGGGTGGCAACAGAGAATTAACACAGGATCTCCAACTCACACTCCTCACCCACACTTCTAGGTTCTCTGCACCTAGGCCTCGCCCAGAAGAAGTCAGGATGAATGCAAAGTGCAAACGGAGCCCTCTTTCCTTCTTTGGGAAGGAGCCAGCAAGGGACCTTTTCATTGCCATTTGCTCTGGGGCTCTTCCGTTTCCCATGTGACTTGATGGGGAGTGCAAGACACAGAACCCAATTTTTTAATTTGTATTATTTAGTTTGGATCAGCAAATGTCTCCCGAGCTGTGTCCTGTGCAAAGTGAAATCACCTATACGCTGTGTCTTTAAAAGCCGGGGAAGTGCGCCGAGCAGCAGCAGCAGTCAATACCAATTTCCACATCTGGATCGATACCATTGGAGGGCTCAGGAGCTGTGAAGATTGTTTCACACACATACTCCAGAGAGGGAGGGCTCGGGGAGAGAAAGGGAATTGGTTTTAATGATTTCATGGCTCTGAGTATTCCCTCTCTCCCTCTTTTCTTTAAAAGAAATAAATACATAAAATTAGAAACCAAATTTACGGACCTGTCAGTCTGCATCAGATCCAGTGTCTTTCCCTGACCTGTCACCAAAAGTGGCATCCAATCTAGCAAATGGCCTGATGCTGTGTGTGGGGCTCCATGTATTGAAGGTGAAGGCTCCACAGCGCTGTCTGCAATAATGCGGTAGTCAAGACGCTCGTGTTTACAGCAGGCCTCCCCTCAAGGACTTTACAGGCCGTTTTCTCAATCTGCAAAGAGAACAAGGTCCAGCAAAGTGTTCCTATCACCCACGGAGAACAGCTGACGTAGTCACTTCTGCGCTGTATCTCCACGCATGCGCCTGGCCGGCGTGAGGTCTGAAGTTCCTAGGTTCTTTCTATGGTATCCTGACTTGGTCCTTCTGAAGGCTGGCATCTCCCGCGTCACTGGGGCGGGGAGCTGTTTTTTCACAAGGTCTAGCTGCCAAGATAATGCAGCTGAGATGGAAATAGCAGCGCAAGGGCGAGGATGAGATGCCATTAGCCTTCCTGGAAGCTTTCCCAGTAGGTCAGGGGCTCTGGCTTTTTTTTCCTTCCCTGTGAGTGGGCACAGCTTTGAGTCCTCAGTGTCATGTGAAGTCTCAGCCAACATGTTCTCCTGCCACACAGCCCATTAGCTCACCTCCAAAGAAAGCTGACCCTCATTCTGCATAGACAAACGCACCCTCAGAAGGAGCCAACAAAGGAATAAATATGTCCCCTCTAGGCCCTGATCTAACGGGGCCGCTTAATCCTCAGCTTGGTAAATGCCACAGCTATAAGCATGATCAGCTCAATCTTTAAGGCAGATCAAATGACTTTCAGGGATGGCTCTGTGCAATCCCCAGCTGCAGGGCCCAGTCTCTCATGAGAGACTGATTTTTCCATAAAGCAGTTATAAAGATTTTCTTCCTGGACTGCAACTCTTACACAGGTCTCTCCTTTACTGTTTTGCAAAACATGGCCTCCTGACTGTCACCACAGATTCCTTATACGCCCTGCTTCATCTCCCCACCTCTCTGGAGCTGGGGATTGGAGGGAGTCTCATGGCTTGGGAAGGTAGTTGCTGACGTGGCTTAGGAAACTGTGCAGCCAGGACTGAATAGGTCAGCTAGCCCCTTGAGTACCACGGGTGGGACAGGACCAGGGCAGCAATCTCAGGTTCTTTTTCTGGCTGAGGTAGCACATTTCCAGGAATAGAATCAGAATCCCAGAGTCCTCAGCCCCCTAGCTGCCTGATGAAAAGTAGGCTGCTGTCTACATGAACTTCAGCCATCCGTGCCTGGGCTCTGGGTCCTTCTACAGGGCTCTCAAGTCTTTGCTTTGCTGGCCACTCTCCTGACAGGACAGCCTTGAAGCACTCACTGAGCAGGGAGAGGCCTGCAAGGCAACACGTCTCTGAAGCTATTATGGCTTTTCTTTAAGAGCCAGGAAATCCCCACTAAATTAATCTTCTCGAAACAAGATTTAAAGAGAACACAAAATGCCAACCCTCCGTTGAAAAAAAACATAGCTTTTGTTTCGACCATGTCTACAGACTGTCCACACTGCATTTAATTCTTCCTGATGTGTGTTTCCTGCTCACCCAATACATCCCAAATCAATTAACAGCAATTAGTTTGATTATGAAACTGTAAAGCAGATAGAAAAAGCTCCCTAAATCTCCCACTAAAGCACCCAATGAAGCAAAATTATCTGGATAACAGCTACATTAATGGTTTATAAATGTTGTTATTATTATTGGGGCTAGGGAAGGAGTCATCTGGTAATGCACCTGTTGTAAAATTATGGAGACATGTCCCTGTAAGCCCAGTCCTGGGGAGGTAGAGGCAGATAGGAGCTCCACCATGGTCAGCCAGCCTAGCTGATGAGCTCCAGTTCATCCAGAAACCCTGTGTGGAAAAAAAGGATAACAACCGAGAAAGATATTTGGTACTGACCCCTGACTTCCACATTCTTGCACACGAGTGTGTATCCACATGCGGCTATGCACACATATGCAAACCACATACCCTAATTATACACCACGTACAGAGAAAAATAGTTGGATAAATAAATGCATTTTTAATTATTGTTATGATGTGACTCCACTCAGATCTAATGGGAAGTGCTCATTGTAGAATGTCCCCCAGAATTCTAAAGTCTCATAGTCAGAGAAGAACAGCTGAGTTCTTCTCTCCTCATGGCTCACTGAACATGTTTTAGTTTTCTAGGGCTTTATGCCTTCTGGTCAACCACCCGGGCCTGGTTGAGGAAGCGAGCACATTCTATATTATGATGTGGAAGCTGAAAAAAAAGCACATTTTCTGGGAAAAGGGGACAGGAAGTTGAAAATGCATCTATTAGCTATTTTCCCAGCACAGTCACCAATACCTGATGGAATAACTCAAGGAAGGAAACATTTTTGAGGATTCAGGCCCCAGTTGCTTGGCCCTGTGTGCTTGTGCTAAATAAACATCATGGAGGCGAGGGCATGCAATGGATGACAGCTCTTGACTCATGGCTGACTGTGAAGGAAAGAAAACACTGGACAGAAAAAATATTTTCATATTCAATCCACAGCCATGTCCAAAAAGGGATTATCTAAATGTTTGTTTAAAGATTATTATAGGATGGTCCCCAAATTCATGGTATGGCTAAGAGGTTTTTATGGGTATGTGGCATGTATCACCATCAAATATCCCCAGGAAACACACAGAGTACATTATTGTCTCTCTGATCCTCAAGGGACTGACTGTTTTTTAGTAAACTAATAACAATGACTATATAGTTTAAAGCAACCATTAAAACATAGCAAAGCACCAGACTGGCTACTAAAAATCCCAAAGCCACACTCTGGGTATGACACCTGGGTGTACAAGGTCCTTTTCTTGGTGGTCTGACAACTTTCTCTTACTTTTCTGAAATTTCTGGAGAAAGAAGTATCTGGCCTTTACCATGCCATAAAAAAAGCTCATTTGTCTAAGTTTCATTGGCTAGCTGGGCAGATGAGGTGCCTCCTCAGATTGACGGGCATTCTGAGCCTGTCCTCAGGAAAGGAAACAGAGCGTGCATAAATATAGATCAGTACTCTCTTACTTTTTTCTGTGTGTGCCTGTTCTGACCTGTTTTCTTCAGGGCTTCAGCATGGTGCATTGGTTGGGATCATAGAGTAACATATTTGTTTTGTGTTTTGTTTTCACTCGTTCTGTGAAATTTATTGAGCGCCTACTAAATGCACTGTGCCATGTGCATAGGCGTTTATTTAATTACATCTTGCATCATTTGGCAGATTGATTCCATAACCACAGATTAGTTGGCTGGGATTCTGATTCTAATTTTGCCCACAATGTGCTGTGTGGCTGTGAGTTAGGCACCCTACCTCTGTAAGATACCTAGATTTCTTTCTTTGCTGTGTGGAAATAATAGTAAGTGACAGCTGCTTAGAGATGTACTGGGATGATTCACGTTCAAGTCAAGGTGAAGCTTGTGAAGTTCAATTATTTCATCCTCGAAATGCCACTCTGAGATGAGTGCAGGGGAAGATTTGTTTTAATTTATATTGCAATAGTTACAGGCTCTTCCAGACTTTCTGCTGATTTCTTCACTACAGGGTTCTAATTTAATGACTGTTTGCTTGATTTCCAGGTTTCAATATCAGAGCGATTAACTTGGATTGATCGGCCAAACCGGTTGTTCTCTGTGAAAGGTTTTCAGTGGCAATAAACAAGTATGTAAAAACTCATACATGCCCAGAAGGTGGATGAACACAATGTTGAGTGTGATTTTTTTAAAGCGACAAGATTTAGGGCTGAGCTTGAATTTGAATTCGTGAATCTAGTACTTGTGTGTATTATCAGAGGAGTTTTATTTCCCTGTGTGTGGTAGATAGCTTGCTTTGTTTAACTGGCCAATGTCTTCCTCAACCTCAGATTTCACACTCACTGAGGCCTCTGAACCAAGAAAAAAAATACAAAAATGACATCCCTGATCATTGAGGTAACAACATTCAAGATCAGGTGGGAAGCGTCATACTGTGAACTAGAAGGTGGTGATTTCTGAGGGCCAGAAACCTAAGCCATGCTAGTATTTCCTTCCCTAATGTGAGCGTTTCCAAGTATCAGCTATGGAGAAGTGATCAGACACAGAGGCCTACACTAGGAGTCTATGGCAATGCAGATAAGAACACGCTCTGTCCAACTATAAAGGAGAGAAGAGTGTGAGAGATTCTTCTGGGGAGAAAAAGTCAGTCTACCATGAAACCTCTGAGCCTTGCGGCTGAGGTTGTGCAGAGCCATCTCTGAAAGTCCCTTGGTTTGCCTTAAAATGGTACTGGCCATATTTAAAACTGTCCATTTACCGAGATGAGGATTAAGCTTCTCCATCATGTCAGGGCCCAGAGGAGACGGATTTATCCTGTGTTTGGCTCATCTTGAGGGTGAGTTTGCCTAGGCTGCACGAGGGCCAGCCTTCTTGAGAGGTGAAGGGTTTGGGGCCTTAAAGAGGGCTGACTGTAGAGGCGAAAGAAGAGAATTCTAGGAGATAAATCTGAGGGGGATGTCATAAGGGATGCTGAGGAATTCTGTATGTTCATGCCATTTGGAACTCACAGGCAGATCTGGATCAGGTGAGCAATGTCCGACAGAAAAGCAGAGGGGCAAGAGACACTGGTGGAAAGCTGGGGCCATAATTCATCTGAAGGATATGGTGGGTAGGATTCAGTCCTAAAAGGTGGACAGTGAGAAGTAGCTGGATCCAGAGCGTTTAGTTGAGCCCCATCTAATATTGGAGGAAATGTTAGAAGGAACATATTTGGAGAAGGAAAGCGATGGGCCTTAAAAACCAGACCTACAGAGTGGCAGAAGCCATTTACATGTTCAAATAGATACGCGGAAATGCTTGCATTAGTTACTTTTCTAGCTGCTGCGACCAAGTATCTGGCAAACACGAAGGAAGAAAGGTTTATTTTGCCTTAGAGTTTGACAGTATGGTCCATTGTGGTGGGGTAGGCATGTGGTAGCTGGTCCCAACACATCCACGGTCAGGAAAACAGAGAGATGAACACTCAGCTTACTTCCCCCTTTCTGTTCTGTGCAGGATCCCAGCCGGTAGGATGGGTCTGCACACATTAGGGCTGGTCTTCCCACCTCAACAAACCCAATCCAGAAATCCCTCCCAGATGTGCCCACAGGTTTATTTCCTGTGTGATTCTAGAGTTGGTCAAATATTTGTCACAGGACATCGAACGTTGCCGATTGACCAAATGAGACAAAGGGGA